AAAGGAAACTAGATGTGTACTTGGGCTCTGGTTGGTTGTTAAAATATGAGGGCAAAAAAAAATCTTGTAGTAATAAAGTATATAAAGTTTCTTCTTTTCATTTTGCTCTGTGACTGGTTTAAAGGTAAGTTTGTTATATTTCTGGTAGATTCTGCCAGGCTTCTCCCAACAGAGTAGAAGTGATTCGGCCTTACAGTGTAGTGGTGCTACCACTCCCTTCTCCGTTCGGTTTGGGCAAGGGCAGAGCTGGAATTTGGTGGAACTCCTGTCGGTGTATTGGATTAAACACTGAAGAGGCAGGAGTTTGGATGGCTGAGTGGGATCCCCTTAGGGTTTTACAGCTGATAAAGTTGCCAGTTCCTGTGCATGTCCCAAGAATCATTAATCCTCTTTTACTCTGTTGGGATGAGTCTTTTTTTTTTTTTTTGGTCCTGTGCAGAGTGGTTACTAACTTAATTTTCTCTCCTCTTGCTGTCATCTGCATTCGTGCTTTCCACCTGTTGTTGGCATGTCCTTTACCTTCTCTTTCCCTGCCGCGTCAATCCACACACACTGACTCGTCGTCGGCCGGGAAGATGTGGAAGATGTCAAGTTTGTGATCAACTATGACTATCCAAACAGCTCAGAGGATTACGTGCACCGCATTGGCCGAACGGCCCGCAGCACCAACAAGGGCACTGCCTACACCTTCTTCACCCCAGGAAACCTCAAGCAGGCCCGAGAGTTGATCAGAGTGCTGGAGGAAGCTAATCAGGCTATCAATCCAAAGCTGATGCAGCTGGTGGACCACAGAGGAGGCGGCGGAGGAGGGGGTAAGGGTAAGTCCTGGAGTTTTTCCAGGTACTGCCAAGGTATCTTTCTGTAATCATTGTGCCTAGTTTTTTGTTTTGTTTTTAATCCTGTGAAGACCTTAAGTATGTTACTTAATAACAAAGGACAATGCTTAATAGTTTTCGTATCTTCCAAGTAAGATGTGTGATTGACCTACTTTTGTAGTGTGATACTTCTGTAGTGTGATACTTCTGTAGATAAGATAAAACGGACCTTTGTATTTTGAGGTATGTGGTGCGTGTTCAAAATTAAACTGGATTATGATTATTCAGATACCCAATTTAACACCACTTTATGGTGGTAGGACAGACATAGCCGTTGGGTCTAAAATTAGTTGCAAAATACAGTAGAATCTAGGCCTCTGGGCTTTCATTTTGGTATTATTTCCTTCCCCCACTTACTGCGTATTTAAACTCTACATCAGAATTACCTGAGAGGTTTTATAAATACAAGTTTGGGGATTTTTGTTGTTGCTGTTTTTTAAGTGGGTTTAGAATTGAGCTAGGAAGCTGAACTTTTCCTAAAGGTTGTGAGATGTTTCTGATGCAGTTAGGACCACAAAGCAACACTTAAGAACCACTGTGCACTAGTGGAGGATCCCTTTCTTTATGGTGGTACGAGTTTAGCTGCCTGTCCTTTTTAACCTATGGTAAGTCACATAACCTTTTTGCCATTGTTCTACATTTTTAAAGACTTTCTTGGTAATCCTCAAGGAAAGAAAGGTCCTAAATGGGTAGGAAGTTGAGTATTCTTAATGTTTACCATTCTATTGAATATGTTCCATTAAAGATTGAAATTATGAGTATGGGGTTTTGTTTTTGTTTTGTTTTTCTCATTTATTTTTAGAGGGGGGGAATGGAGGGGGAAAGAGAGGTAGAGAAACATCGATGTGTGGTTGCCTCTCGAGTGCCCCTCCACTGGGGACCCGGCCTGCAACCCAGGCACGTGTCCCGGCTGGGAATGGAACCGGCGACCTGCTGTTTCACAGGCTGGCACTCATTCTGCTGAGCCACACCAGCCAGGGCTCTAGTATGTTTTTTAAGTAGTGACGTGGAGGCTGGGCTAGCTAAAAATTGCGAAACAATATTGAATACTTTTGTACCTAGGAAAGTGTTTACATTTGGTTATGTTTGGGTCATACGTCTGGCATTAAAAAGTCATTGTATCCTTCATCAGGAGGTCGTTCTCGATACCGGACCACTTCTTCAGCCAACAATCCCAATCTGATGTATCAGGATGAGTGTGACCGGAGGCTTCGAGGAGTCAAGGATGGTGGCCGGAGAGACTCTACAAGCTATCGGGATCGTAGTGAAACCGATAGAGCTGGTTATGCTAATGGCAGTGGCTATGGAAGTCCAAATTCTGCCTTTGGAGCACAAGCAGGCCAATACACCTATGGGCAAGGCACCTATGGTGCAGCTGCTTATGGCACCAGTGGCTATACAGCCCAAGAATATGGCGCTGGCACTTACGGGGCTAGTAGCACCACCTCAACTGGGAGAAGTTCGCAGAGCTCTAGCCAGCAGTTTAGTGGGATAGGCCGGTCTGGGCAGCAGCCACAGCCACTGATGTCACAACAGTTTGCACAGCCTCCAGGAGCTACCAATATGATAGGTTACATGGGGCAGACTGCTTACCAGTACCCCCCACCTCCTCCTCCCCCTCCTCCTTCACGTAAATGAAACCACTCAAGTGGTAGTGACTTGTGCAGACTTGCTACATTTAAAGGAACGCTGTCTTTCCCTTCTTTTCTGTTCCCTTTCTATTTTATTTTCCCTCCCACCATTGTGATTTGTCTTTCATGCAGATTAGTTAGAATTCACTGCCAGGTTTCTTCTGCCCGCCAAATTGATCCAGTCTGTAATGATAGGTTTTGTAAAAAATATATATATATAGCCGACTGGAAAAAATCCCCCCGCCCAACTTCTTGCATGTTGAGGATATTCGAGCTATTTTTCATCTAAAGAGAAAAAGCAAGCTATTAGGCCCTTTTGTGGGAGCCCTTTTTTGTTGTCCTGAGTCGGGGCTGGGTGGGGAGGGTGAAGGGGTGAATTGTGCGGAAGAAGATGGCACCTGTGCTTTAAATCGCTCTCATTGCTGAGTTAGGAACCGAGAGAGAGAGCTCCCTGCACATTTCCCATGATGCTTTTTAATGTTTCCCAAGCTGGAACAGGGTTCGTCAGGCCTGATGAGTTTTGAAGACAGTGCTTTGCCATTGTCATTTTGGCTGATTGCTTTTTTTTTTTTTTTTTAAGTGAATTCACAGCTTTAAAAAATTCCTAATTGGTTTTGTCTCCCTTATACTCTGCCTTCCCCCTTCCCAGTGACTGAAAAATAACCTATTTAGTGTCAGGTTAGAAATTGAATTGCCAAGTCTGAGTATTTAAGTGGATCTTTTAAATTAAAACCCCCAGTGTTTATTGCAGTGGCTAAATGTGGCATCTCAGCACCTGGGTGGAAGCTGCCTGTGTTTCTTCCCCGTGTAGACAGGGACCATCAGTGAGGCTCCCTTTTTAACCAGACAGCTGCAGTGAGCAGAGCAAACATACATGCTCGCTGGAAATGTACTTTATTACCCAGTTAAGTGTGCATTCACCTGCAGCGTAAAAACCACCTTTAATTATAAACAGTATACTTAGTGGGCAAATTTTCTTTTTAAATTCTGTAGAGCTAGAACAAAAGCAGCTCTTAGCCAGCTCCCCAGCCCTTTTGGCCAAGTGATCTTGAACAAAGAATTTTGAGGGTTAAGAAGGAACTCTTACTCTCTTCACACTCTGTTCTCTGCAGTGCTTTGTAACAGCTTTTGGGTGCAAATTTTCCTCGGCATCCTTTTGCACTCAGCTTTTTACAGGTAGGTAGTGCTTAGGAAAAGTTAGAGGACTAAGGCCTGTCCTTGTACTTTTCCTGCATCTGAAGGTAGGTGAGTCTGTCCCCTTTGTAGTAGTAATGTTGACTGTTTTGCTAAGACTTTCTGTAACAGATCTGGGAAGAATTTTCTGCTCTTGTGTTCGCTACAGCAGGACAGGGAGATCGGACAGCCTCAGAAACCTCTCCCACATCTAGTGTGACTCAGTGTTCAATGCTGTCGATAGTATTCGTTCTCAATGCATTTAAAGGGGGAAGGCTCCACTGCATTCTTCGGCCAAGTCCTGAGAGTGCTTGCTGGTTTGTAAGATCCCAATATCTAAATACTTGAGGTTTTTTGGTTTTGTTTTCCTTTTGAAATTCTTCAGGGAGAGAGAAGGGATTGTTTCTGAGGGGTTCTGAAAATTTGGTTGAATATGCAGCATACAGGTAGGTTGTCAGCCTGAGTTGAAATACATCTGAAAACTGACAAATCCCCACCCCTCCCCCCCCTTCTTCCTGAACTGCTCTTTTTCTACTCCCCACCCCCCAGCATAGAAGTTGAGGCCGAGGGAGGGAGGACAGTAGGCACAGGAAAATGCGGCAAAACTGCTTTGTGCTTTCAAACCAAAGTGTTCTTCCCCTCAAAAAAAATTTAAGCGGTGACCACCAGTTCATTGTAGGCATTTTTACACCCAAAATTCTGTTTGTTTGTTCGTTTGTGTTTTTAAACAGGTGCCACCAGAGGGACTTATACTCTTGCAGGTCTTAAAAGTGACCCTTTTTGGGAGAGGTCTCTGCTCTCTCTGTCCACCAGGGATGTTACCTAGTCAGAGTAACAGCGTTTTCCAAACCTCAAAAGCTATCGCAGCCCGAGCACGGGTGGACTCGCACAGCGCTCCCAGCGCTCTAGAGTAACCGCCTCCGTGTCGGCTGCGCATAATTCAGAGTCTGCCTCTGTTTCAGAACGTGAGCAGACGAGATCTCACGGGCGCTAGGTTTCGTGGTAATAGTTCAAACTCATTTAGGAAACGGATTTCGATACTAAGCCATGGGGCCGCTTCACCCCAACCCCTCCCCAACAGCTCATGTGTGGAGTTCTCTCATCTACAAGGTTGGTGGCTTTTGCTTGGGATCAGCGCTCTCTACTCGTGTCCTTGCTGGTCTCTGAACACATTCCTGTTGCGTTAAGACTTGAAAGATTTGTAGATGTGTGACGTTCAGGCACAGGATGCTAAGAGCTATGTTGTTATTCTTAGTTTGTAAATTGTCCTTTTGATACCATCTTGTTTTCTTTTGTAGGTATAAATAAACACTGTTGACAATAAGGTGTGAACTTTTTATTACCCAAAAATTCTGACTGTAGTCCAATGGCAGTTAGTACTCCTTACGAGATTTTATTTGCTTCACAACCAGGGTTGGGGATGTTGGATTTGCTTTAGCACCTAAAAATGTGAAAGGTGGGATGGGTTGGTGGCAGTGCGGAAATCTGAGTTACAAAGCAATAAAGCAGTACCTAGTAGGTAAAAGCCCTGGGCATCCGTTGCCTTGTCGGTAAATGGCCACACCAGTGGTACCCTCCTAAGATTGTTACTCAGATTAAATACTGGGTGTGGAAGTACTAAAGTCTTGCCAAAGCCTGTAAGTTAGTGTCTTGCTTTGTGCTCGGAGGGACAGCTTTACGCATGAGCCTCACGGGTTCTCGATGTCCTCGTTAACATGTGGTGCAGCGTTTGTGTGCGTGGCCCAGATCTTTTCATTGCTTCTGTAAGGGGGGAGGTGGTGTTGAGGTCCTGTAGATGGAGTCGTCAGTGCTTTGCTCGAATCCATCCACACTGAGCATTTTTCTGGCATTAACATTGGTATGAGTCACTCAGTAGAACATCTCAAATAGTTGGGTTCGTGCCCTTGTTTTCTGAGGGTCTCAAATTGGCATTGGAAGACTTAACTTCTTTCCTTTAAGGACTAGAAGAAAATGGACATGCGATTAGAAGTTTCTATACTGATGAAAGAGCTCGTTTATAACTGCATGATCTTAGTATCTCTAACGCCCAGTTGACAGCCAGCCATTCAGATGATAAAGCCAAGGAGGAAAGTTCATTGCAATCTCGCTGAGCTCCACCTTGGTGACAGTACCAGCACCACCACCCCCTTAGGCCGTAAGTTTAGCATCTCATGCCTTTAGTGACATCTCATTCATTCCATCAGCAGTCCCTCAACTAACATCTGTCCATGTCTCAGTTTCCACTGATGACCCCTTCCCTGGACGATTGCAATTCCCTGTAGCTGGTGTCCTGCTTTGGCTGCTCACGGATTGCTCGTGGAAATGACTCCTTTGGTAGTCATGCAGTGTAAATCCCTTACCCTGGCCTGTGCTGGTCTTGCTGTCTGCTGCATCCAGGTTTGTAGATCTCAACCAGACTACCTTGTTGTCTTTAATCACACCAAGCTGGCTTTTCAGAATGGGTCTGCCTGTACATCCTATTGGATGTGTTTTCATGGCACCATTTCCTGAAGTACGAGTTTGTCTCCCCCCATGAAGATAAGCAGCACGAGCCTTGCCTCATTTACACTTGCATATTCCCTCAGACGCTACAGGGGAGCGCTTCGGGCCAGTGCCAACACACGGCTGTGTTCTCCCAGTGCCTACCTTTGGTCACGTACAAGTAGAAGAAGTCACAGTAGAAGATGGTTTGTACCACCCCGGACACCACTGCAATCTGGTCATAGAAATTCTCAGTCTGGTACCGCCTGATCCAGTTAGCCAGGTAGAGGGCCCGGTACAGCCCAAGGAAGAACAGGTAGTGAGTGGTGATGGTCTCCGCCTCGCCCGTCTTGCTGATCATGAAAAGCTGGGGCAGGATGGCCACTGACTCCAGGTAGATGGAGAAGGTCCAGAGGATCTAAACCAAGGAGACAACGGCAAGAGAGAGTTGGTCAAGGCCAAGAAGGGATTCCCTCTTTAAAGGAATTACTGAAATACGTTAACTGGAGAGAATACAGTGAATTAAAGAGCACGTTAATAGTTCTAATATTTTAGTAAGTATATTCCACCCCATTTAAAAAGCATGCTTTTGTCATAATTTATGGTTGGCAGGATTTTATTGTATAAACTCGCCTTGATTGAGGCCATGGTTTCTCAAAATACAGCCTGAACACCAGCACCGGAATCTCCTGAGGCGCCTGGCGGGCCGCAGCTCCGACCTGCCGAGTTGAACTCGGCCGGGGCTGTGCTCTGGCGCCCACCAGTCCCTCGGACTGAAGGTCTGAGTGCTGCAGCGATGCCGTGTGTGTGAGCCTCGCCAGACCTCCCCGTTTTCACATGGAGCGGTGGAGGTAGCCTGTTGCTAGTTTTTAGATTTGGAGCTTAACAATGTGAGTAGTAGTTTTTTTAACAATGTAACAGTCATGGTAGTAACAGCGCAAGCCACCGGCACCACCCCCACCCACTGGGAAACAACAGGCTTTACCCGAGTCCAGAGGGTGGGATGTTAGGGGGCACGCTTGCGCTGGAGAGTTAGTGCCCCAGCGTCCTGTCCCTACCTCCAGGGGGGTGAAACTGTAGTTCTCAAGGAAGGAGAGGCCGACAACCGGGACCAGAAGGAACTCCAGGCGGAAGGTGTCGTTCTCACTGTCAAAAGTTTTCCGAAATTTCCCGTAGATCATGTACACTGTGACATAGGCACAGAGGAGAAAAACTACCTAGAAGTGGAGAGACACAGGAATTGATGAAGTCACCTCCCAGCCCGCTTGCTGGGCTTCAGAGTCACCCGAGTTGGGCCCTACCAAGCCCAGTGGCTAGTGCCCTGCTTTAAGGTGGGAGAGGTGAGATCCTTTGCCGTTTTTCTTAGGCCCAGTGCCCTAGAACCTGCTGCTAATGACCCTGTGTCAAGTGCTCTGAATTGGGGCTGACAGTGCCACATGAAGACGGAAGGTGCCCAGGCCCCTCCTCGCTGTAAAGCGCTCGGCAGGAAGGCCCGGGTCGGTCTTCCTGGGAGGCTTCAGGGGTGGCGTTCCGGGCGCTTTTAAAACCTCAGCCTCCTAGGCAGCCATCTGGGACTTGGCTTCTTTCTCAGGGACTCTCAGCCCTGGATCACTGCTCCTTCGGAAAAGCCCTCTTTTCTAACGGCGGCGACCCTCCAGCATATGATTTCAAGGATCTGGCCTCAGACCTTCTGGGCCAGAGGTTCTCAAACTTTCACGTGCGTCAAAATCACACGGCAGGCGGCCCCTGCCCCCAGTTCCTGCTTCCCTAGGTCAGAGTGGGCCTGGGGATTTAAATCCCCAGCAAGTTCCTATGCGGTGCTGCAGCTGGGGGTCGGACCACACTGGCCTGCAAAATGATTTGTGCTTGAGAAACTCAGGTGGTTTCCTCCACCTTTTCTCGTGAGAATGAGGCATGTGTGCCCTGTCACCATAGCCCTCCGTAAAAATACTCGCTGCCGCCCACCAGCACAGGTTCTATAAATGTCTGAGTAACAGCGAGTCCCCTGGGAGGGGATGGTCCCTCTTACAGGTCCTCGTCTGAATTTCCAGCCCCTCATTCAGCGCCCAGCACAGAGCAAGTGCTGGAGCGAGTGAGTGAGTCCAGGGAGTGCCGACCACCTCTCCGTCGCATGGCAACATGCAAACTGACCTCTTTGCAGTTCCTGGACCTCACTGGGCCGCGCCAAGGGCTAGGTCTGCAGGCCACAAGCCAGACCCGGCAGAGGGTGAACTCGGCAGGTGGTGTGTGCTGCTTGTGTGTTAAATTTAAGAAGACAGCGATTTCAGGACCTCAGACTGAGGTTCACACTGACTTCAACACCCCATGGTGAACAGCAGCCTCCCTTCCACCGACCCGAGGAACAGGATGCCTGGAACCCCAAAGGGACATCTCTGATAGAGAGGAGACAGAACTCACTCTGGTTAAATAGCTTACGGGTATTCGGCACTTTACATAGACACACATTATCTCGTGTAATCTTCCGATTACCCTGCAAGATAGGTATGATTCCCTCCCATGTTAGGCTTTTCTTCATTTAAAACTCCTATTGGGAATTGTGCCCATCTAAAAACTTCTCCCAGCCTCCTTTGCAGATAAGGATGGTCAGTGATGTGTATGGAAGTCACTGGATAGAGTGTGGGACAAGCTCTTTAAACAGGGTTTGCCCAGCTGGCAGGCACGCTATTGCTCTTTCTCTTCTTCCTGCCCACGATGTGATGTGACGGAAGGAGCTCCAGCACCCATTCTGTGACTCTAAGTCAGCCGGAAGGACTATGTCATTTACAAGGCCTCTCGTTCAAACATGAATTTCAAGATGGCAACAGCAGAGTGTTAAACCAAGCATGGGGTCCTTGCACAGGTCATACACCCATGAGTCCTGGTCACATTCAAGGCGGCAGAGCAGGAAGTTACAAGGAATTGCCAGCTCAGCCCTGGAGTGCCCACCCTCAGATTGCATGTTACGAGTGAGGAAAGACTAAACCCTCATCAAAAGAACGCTTGTTTTGCCCTGGCTGGCATAGTTCAGTGGGTTGAGTGCAGGCTGCGAACCAAAGCATCGCAGGTTCGATTCCCAGTCAGGGCACATGCCTGAGTTGCAGGCCACGGCCCCCAGCAACTGCACATTGATGTTTCTCTCTCTCTCTCTCTCTTTCTCCCTCCTTTCCCTCTCAAATAAATTAATAAATAAAAAGAACTCTTGTTTTAAGTCTCTGTCACCAATACCTAGGCAGTTACATCCCATTTTCCTGACTCTGGAACCTGGCTCCTCGCACAGCTCTGCGTTGCCTTAAAGAGCTGGGACAGCAGGCTAACGGCTCAGAAAATGCCTCACTTCGACACAGCCCCACAGTTACCGCCCAGGGCCTGTGACATGAGAGCAGAACCTGGAGATGCTCAGGATTTCCCTCTGTAAAACGGCCATCCTTCAAAGCAGCGGCTTCCCATCACGAAGTTAAATCCAAACCGTTCACCTGCACCGCCTGCCCTCACCCAGCCTCACCACCACCGGTGGGCGGCCCTCGCCGGCTGAGCTCCCACCACACTGGCCTTCTGCCTGTCCTTTGGGTGCACCAGGCTTGTGTTGTCTTGGGGGTCTTTGTACCGGCTACTCCTGCTTAGAATGTACCTTCTCTGACCTACACATGGCTGGTTGGTTCCTTGTGTCCCTCAGCTCTCAGCTTGCATGTCACCTCTTCAGAAAGGCTATATATATATATATATATATTAGACAGAAGGGAAAGAAGGGAGAAAGGGAGAGAAACATCGATGTGTGGTTGCTTCTCATGTGCCCCCCACTGGGGACCTGGCCCAAAACCCAGGCCTGTGCCCTAGACTGGGAATCAAACCGGTGACCCTTTGGTTCACAGGCCGGCACTCAATCCACTGAGCCGCACCAGCCAGGGCTGTAACCCTATTTTTAAAAATTTTTAAATACCTGAATCTAAATTCCAAGTCCCTGACACACAGCCCAGCACAAAACAAACGCTGGGCAAATCGCCCTGTTTGAGTTAGTTGCGGAGCCTCGTCCGCAGCCCTCACCAAAGTTTTCCTTGCCTGTTCCATCATCTCTGCCCCAGTCCAGACACAGCGTCTGTGAGAACGGGGCCCTGTGCATCTCGCCCAGGTGTCTGGCTCTCAGTCGGTGCTCAACAAGCATTTGTCAGGCAGACGGTTGAGTAAGTCCTTTGAAAGCTTAGCGTCCCTTGTTGGACTTTTTGCTTATGTCTTTAACCAGTATAATAGCTAACATTTACGGAATGTTTAATATACGACAGCTACTGTGTATTTACTTTTATTACCTCGTTTAGTTTTCACCACAAAACTAGGGTCTAGTATCTTCATTTCTCAGAGGAGGAGACTGGGGGACACAGAGGCCCGAGGTCTCGTCCAAGCCCAGGTCCCACAGCTGCCGAGCAGCAAGGCCAGGACTCCGACCCGGTCTGCCCAGCCCCACGGCCTGGCTCCCCAGATGTCCCCTCGCGGCAGGCCCCACCGCCACAGCCTCCCACCCCCTCACCTTCATGACCGTGTTGTAGATGGAGATGAAGTTGGTGAACAGGTCCAGGTACCTGGTGGTGAAGACGAGAGCAAAAAGGATCTGGCTCTTCCCCGAGATGCCTGTGGCAGAGGGGGACAGGAGACAATGAGGACCCAGAGGCCCAGCCCCATGTGCGCCGGAGAAGCCTGGAGCCCCAGCGGGAAAGGCCTCCAGAGCGAGCAGCCACCTTCCAGGACGAGGGCCTGCCCGGGCACTGGAGCGCCCGAGGGGCAGGAAACGCCCCTTCGCCTGAGGGCTGGGGGGCTTCCCCCGCAGGGCCCCACTGACAACCCCCACAGCTCTGTCTGCTGGAGGACTCACCAGGGAGACCAGGGCCGGTGGAGGAAGGCAGGGGGCCAGGGGCGCATTCTCTTTTGTTTCTCCAAATTTAAAAAAAAAAAAAATTGCCCTGGCTGGCATAGCTCAGTGGATTGAGTGCAGGCTGTGAACCAGGCATCGCAGGTTTGATTCCCAGTCAGGACACATGCCTGGGTTGCAGGCCACAGCCCCCAGCAACCGCACATGGATGTTTCTCTCTTTCTCCCTCCCTTCCCTCTCTAAATAAATAAATAAATAAATAAATAAATAAAATATTTTTAAAAATTTAAACCTTTTTTCTAGTCATAAATGTTATGCTTATTTTAACTCTTTGTAAAACAAAACTCAAAAAACACATAAAGCTGTAAATTCAAAAGCCGCCATCACCCGAATCCCAAAGCTTCAGTGTGGACCCTTCCAAATCTTTGTTGGCCCCTCCGTGCACATACACATGTGTACACATGACACGTGTGTGCACACATGTGACATGTTTGGATGCATCGAGATGACAGAACTGGGGTCATGCTTTCTACGCTATTTCCTCATCTGCTTTGGCCTCTTTCTTTTTTAGCTTTTAAAAAAAATAATTTTATTAAAGGACACATGGTCATAGACTAAGGGGAGGGTGGTAATGGGAGGGAAGGGGGGCGGGTGGGAGGGGGAACTGGATTGGGAGTAAAAAGGAGAAAACTGTATATGAACAATGATTAAAAAAAATAATAATAATTTTAGATATACAGAAGGGTCGCAAAGACAGTGCCGAGGGTTCCCACGGGCCCTTCCTCCAGCGCTCACCTCTCGCATAACCACAGAACGCTGGCCGCCGCTGAGAAACCAATGTGAGCGCAGCCCGGCCGACCAAGCGGCCGGCTTCGTGTGCATTTCCCCAGTTCTCACACTGGTGCCCCTCTCCCATCCCAGGACCCGGTTCCGGAAGTGAAGCTGCATTTACCTGGCAGGCTCCCTCGTCTCCTCTGGGCCACTTGGGTTTATTTGTTTCAATGTGTTGATTTGAGAGACGGGGGGGGGGGCAAACAGCAGTCTGTTGCTCCATGTACCGATGCACTCACTGGTTGATTCTTGTATGTGCCCTGACCAGGGATCGAACCCACAACCTTGGTGTATCGAAACGATGCCCTAGCCCTGGCTGGGGTGGCTCAGTGGATTGAGTGCGAACTGCAAACCAAAGGGTCACTGGTTGATTCCCAGTCAGAGCACATGCCTGGGTTGTGGGCCAGGTCTCCAGTGGGGGCCACATGAGAGGCAACCACACATTGACATTTCTCTCCCTCTCTGTTTCCCTCCCTTCCCCTCTCTATAGAAATAAATAAATAAAGGCTTAAAAAAAAAGAAAGAAAGAAATGATGCTCTAACCAACTGAGTTGCCCAGCTGGGGACACATCCTGGAGATGGTTCCAGAATGAGGGGAGCAGAGGCCCCGCCCACCTTTTCTCTGGCTTTCTCACGCCTCCCGCAGGCTGGAGGCTGCACCACGCCTCACTCGTCAACGTGCCCAAGTTTCTGCATCAAAGGTCAACTCTGCCCTCACCCGACCTGTCGTCCCAAACCGCGTCTGTCCTGAGCACCGCCCACAGCACTGCTTTCTCCCCTCCTCTGGCCACTTCTGTCCTCCCCGCCACCTACACCCCTCGTCTCCCTGCGCCCTTCGCCAGCACAGCCCACGTGCCAGGGACACTCCAGCCCTGGGCTCTCCTCCCCACCCTGACCTATACATACATCCCTGGCCGGCCAAACTCATCAGCCCTCCCGAACCCCCTCCTTTTCCTGTGTGCCTTCCTTCAGAGAGGTCACCACACCCCTCAACGCTCAAGCCAGAAAACCTAGAGCCATCCTTGCGTCTCTCTCCCTCAGCCCCTCCCACTCCCTGCTTCTCAGCACCGCAGCTCCCACTCCGGTGCCGCCCATCAGCCCAGCCTCCCCACCTCAGTGACCCCCCAACAGGTCTTCCCAAGTTTTCCCTCGCTGCCCAGCCCTCCCCCACTTCCACCCAGGGGCCAGTGGGCTATTTGTAAAATAAAATTCTGCTTAAAGCCCTTAAGTGGCTCCCAAGGACCCTTAAAATAAAGAACCAAATCCTTATGGCTCTCAAGGGCCTGCCTGGGTCACCCCGCACCCCCGGGGGCCCCACATCTGAGCACTCCTCCTCCCCCTCCCCGCAGGCCTGGTGACACCGCTGGACTTTACACTAAATGTAACGTAGCAGCTGCCGAGCTGGGTGCTGAGACCTGATGTTCAGGGCCTGGCTCCTTCCGACCACACAGAGTTCTTGTTTATTTTTAGAGAGAGGAGTAGAGAGCGAGAGAGAGAGGGACAGAAACATCGATGTGAGAGCGACATCGATCAGCTGCTTCCTGCAGACGCCGCGCGAACTGATTCCGCAACCCAGGCACGGCCCTGACCCGAATCGAACTGGCAATGACCTTTCGCTTTGTAGGACGAAGTCCAACCTGACTGAGCCACACCAGTCAGGTCAGGGTGGGGACAGCGGTCTTCTTGGTGACCGAAGATGAACCCCACTGAAGCCCCTAACGTTCCGGAGAGCCCGGGGTCCGTGTCCCAGCTTTCCTGCCAGCGTGGCAAGCCTGAGCCTCACGGTCACCTGTAAAACACCCCCGGGCAGGATGGGTGTGAGGACTGAGGAGCGCTCAGGGGGAACGTGGGTGCCTCCGAGTGCCTCCCCGGGGGTCTGGCCCTGCAGCCAGGGTGGGAGTGAGCCCCTGGGGGAGGCGATGCAGACCCGCTCTGGGCGGTGCCCATTGCCGCTGCGCCTCCCTGAGCCCTCAAGGAGGCCTTCCCGGAGGCCCTCAGCCAGGCGCAGCGGGGTCCCGGCTCAGCCCTGGTGGGGGATGCCTGGCCCCCCCGCTGACACGGCCTCCCCCGACCCTTGCCCCCTCTCCATCCTCAGCCTGCCAGGCCCCTGGGCTTCGCTCGCATGTTCCTCGGTGACCGGGAGCCCCAGGGATCTGGAGCGCAATGGTTTCCACGCACTTCTGAAAGCAATGACTAGTTTCCACCGAGGCCAGCTGCGTGTGGAGACGCAGGGCATGGAAGAGAACCTGGGCCCGCACCTGGCCGGAGTCCCTGAGGGCTCCTAAGCACAGAGGGGACCTCGGACCAGGTGTCACCCTCCCTCGAAACTGACAGACGAGAACACCGAAGCCCAAGGTCACACGCTGAGTGAGGGGCAGAGCAAGACAAAGCCCCAGTCCCTTGCTGTCTGCCTTGAGTCAGCGGGGTCACACCAGGCCCTGCTGCGCGGGCTGACGGGGTGGCATCCGGCACCTCACCTCCGCAGACGGCAGCCAGGCCTGTGCCGGCCCTCTGCACACACACACCGGCTGTCCCTTCTCTTCCCACGGCGCTGAGCTCCAAAACCATTGCTTGTTGGCGGTCTCGCACTGCTGGACCGCCAGCTGCCCCAGGCCAGGATCCCGCCTGTGCCACCCCCCGCTATTTGCCAGGGGCCTAGTCCAGCGCCCCCTCCTGGTCGTGGTTGTGCACCCAGCGCAGGGTCCTCCGTGAGAGTGCAGGGGCAAGGCCAAGCCAGGCTCTTCCCCTCAGCGCAGCCTTCTGCACCCCCATCTCCCCTCTCCGCATTCTGGGCCCCCTTCCGCGGAGTGGGGACTGCGAGTGCCCATCTCTCCAGGAACCCCAAACCGGAATGGCCTCCCGATCTGGGATCATTCCTTCTGCAGTGACCCTCCCGTCAGCACCCAGCCCTCATTCCCCCCACCAAACCTCCCCAGCTGGGGGCGTTCTCATTGCTACCTCTGCCCCGGCTCTCGGACCCTCCGCACAGCTTGCGGTCCCCTTTGGAGACCCGCTCCCTCGCTCCCAAACCTTCTGGGACCTTCCAGTCCCAGCTCCCTAGCGTGTCGGACCACACACCGTCACATCTGGACCGCCCTCTCCCTGGCCTCACCTCCCTCCCGGACCACCCCCAAACTGGGCTGCTCACCCTTGCAGGGGCCTGCCCTGCTGTCTGGGACGCCTGGACTTCTGCTCTCCCACGTCCCTCACACAGCACACCCTCCGGGGTGACGCCCTGCCCATCCTCCAGGACCCGGCCCAGATCTGCTCCGTTGTTCGAGAAGCCTTCAGGGGGGGCTCCCTGCCTCTCAGCCCCGACAAGGAGCCCACACTCATCTCCCCGTCCTCTCACCCCCGTGCCCAGCCCGGGGTGACGCCGGCAGGACCCCACAGAGAGAGATGGCTGCAGGAGGCCTGGGCAGCCTCTGAATGCGCTGGACCTGTGTGGCCGGCACCAGCCCAGCCCAGCCCCGAAACTCCTCCAAACCCCCAACGGGGCAGCCAGACAATCGGCCAAAGAGGGACCACGCTCCTGCGCGCCCCAGGCCCCTGCTCGGGGCAGCTCCGCACCTGCCCGGGCTGGGCTTGGCCGCTCCTGCCACATCACAGACGCCTGTGCCACACACGGCCGGGGGGAGGGGGGGATCCTTGGAGGATGTGGAGGGGGCAGGAGAGTGGCGTGGGGACTGAAAGGAAGCCAGAGTGAGGCGCCTCTGTGTTCCTGTCTCCTCTGCACCCCCCGCCCCCCCCCACCCCCGCCTAAGGGAGGGTGGAGAGAACAATGGGCCTCAATCGGCATTTCTTCTGTGGAGCAGGGGGGATGCCTCCAGGGAGGGGGTGTCACCTACCCCTGTCCCCCTCCTCTTCCCACCAGCCTCGGCAAAGGGGGCAGCGGGTTGGGGGGGGGGGTGTTTGTGAGGGGAGGGGAAAGCACATGCCCACCCTCCCTGCACAGTCTCCAGGGGTCCTCCTTCTCTGACATGGTACAACTTTAGATTTTCTTTGGAAGCTGAGCTATGCAAACGGTTTCGCCCCCAAGCGGAAGTCCCCACCCTGAGCAGACGTCAGGAGGTCCCCCCAAGCCCTGCAGGCAGGGGGTGTGGGGCTGGCCAGCAGAGGCGCGGCGGCCCAGGCCCCGGGGTCCTCCACCTCCCACCGGGGCCGCCCCTCACCTGCGCAGGACTTCGATCTCCAGATCTTCCCCAGCAGCAAGATCATGGCCAGGAGGTGGCTCAGGTCGCCGAGGATACGGAACACGTTCATGGTCCAGCCCGCCCGCCCGGCACTCGCACAGCCAACTCCTGGGAAACTTTCTGGCGGGCGACGCGGCTGCCACGTCCCCGGCCCAGACTGCGGGTCCCGCGGCCCCTGTCCGCGCCTCCGAGCTCCCAGCGCCGAGCTCCGCCCGGTGCCAGCGCTCAGCCAGCGCGCTCTCGGCCGGGCGGTGACGTGGCCAGGCCGGCCGCGGACCAGGGAGCCAGGAAGCGCCGCCGCCCGACGTCCCGCCCCCGGCCCGTCCCAGAGCCTCGGCTCCGGGCGGGCGGGGCAGCCTGGTCTGGCCAGGCCGGGGGCTTCCGGCCGCGGCCCGCCGCTGGCCGCCGAGGTCGCTCTGTGCGGGAGAGGGGCTCGCGGTGTCCCGCGCCGCCGATGCGCGGAGCGGCGGCCGCCTGGAGGCCGGGCAGCGCCTCCGCTGCTCAGAACAGAGGGGTCCTCCGGCAGGTGACCTTGGGCAAGCCAGCGGCCCCTCTCTCTGCCTCAGTTCGCTCACCCGTACACGGTGCTAGTCACCCCGGGGCCAGGGCGAAGTGGGGTCCCGCCTGCCAGTGCCGCGTGAGCCTGGCAGGTTGGAAGCACCCCGGACACCGTCACCCACTGCTGTCGTCCCCATCCTGCGTTTGGGCGCGGACGTCCCCAGCCCCCACGTTTGTTCGAAGAGCCGCCTTGTCCTGCCCTGCTCCCCCGGACGGGAGCGATGGAACCTCAGGACCCTTAGGCTGGAGTCAGGGTGACCTCACTCAAGTCTCCCTCTTCTTGGTGTGACCAGATGCAGAGCTGGAGCTCACGCCCTCACTGGTGTGGCTCCGGGCGTTGGGCTTTGTGGCTAACAGCCGAGGGCGGGGGGCGCTGGCTGGATTCCCCTTCAGGGCACAGGCCTGGGTGGCAGGCCAGGCCCCCCAGTCGGGGGGGTGTGAGGAGCAACCCATCCACTTTTCTCTCACACATTGATATTTTCTCCCTTTCTCTCTCCCTCCCTCCGGCTTCTCTTTAAAAATAAATAAATAAAATATTTTTAAAAAAATACAGCAGGAGCACAGGCCAGGAAAGACTCTAGGGAGTTTGGCGGGGGTGGGGGGCAGGGTGCCAGCTAGAAAGCAGGGAGGCAGGAAGGGCGAAGGGTGCAGGGCCAGGGTCGGGCAGGAGTCCTCTCAGTGCTGTGTGCCCTCAGCAGCTCAGCCACCCTCTCTGGGCCTCAGTCTGTGCCTCTGTAGGAGCGGACCACCTGAGCCAAGGGGCCTGCCTACCCACCACCACCCTCTCCCCTTCTCCCACTCAGGACCTTAATCACTCCCTAAGCTACCAGCCTCCCACGCCCTCTACTCATGCCCCTTCACGGCCCCTCATCCTGACGTCCTGGGCACAGCAGTCCTGGGGAACTGAGAACGTGGTCCCAGGGCCAGCTCATCTGCTTCACCCTCTGGGAACTCGGGATCCCAGCCCCCAGCCAGACCTGCTGAATCCGGATCTTGGGGTAAACAAGCCCCTGGGCGACTCGTGTGTGCTCCAGAGCTTGAGAGGCCCTCACCCCCACACCGCCACCAGGGAGGTATGGATATTATTCCCATTTCACGCTGGGGAAACTGAGGCATGGAGCGGTTAAGCAGTTTGCTTAAAGTCACACAGACACGCTGGGGAAACTGAGGCATGGAGCGGTTAAGCAGTTTGCTTAAAGTCACACAGACACGGAACAGTGGAGCCCAGATTCCAGCCCACACTCTGACTTCAGGGCTCATGCGATTGGCTTGTCACGCCACACGGCGGGGGTTCACGGCAGGTGCTGAGCTCCCCGTCCTGAGAAGTGGGAGGGTGGGGGGTGAGGTCCCACTTGTCAAGGATGCTGCCGTGGGGACCCCTGCCCTGTCACAGAGGCTGGGTGACAATAGCAGTGGAGTGGTGGGTATCTGCTGGATGCCGGCACGGGCCAGATGCATCAGGAAGGTTCCCTCCACTCGGCCTGCACAGGCGCCCTCTGAGTAGGCTTGCGGTCCTCGCTTTGCAGGTGGTGGCCACTGAGGCTTGCGGAGGCGAGGCGGTGGGGCCGAGTACCTCTGGTAGGAGGGGCCAGGCAACCATCTTGGGGCTGTGATGGGTTCTGAATGGGCTCTCCGTTCCCTGCTCCCCCACCGCCACCGCCCTGCCCAGATGCACCCCCCCCCCCAGCTAGTTCCCAGAGAAGGTGGTGGCTATTTAAAACCTCAGGTGTGGCTACACTTCTCTCTGCCCAACCAGCTGGCATCCTCTCAGCGCCCACCTCCTGCCCGACCAGGGAAAAGCATGTGCATTTGCCATTTGGCAGAACATCTGCCCTCCCGAGAAGCAACTCCAGGTGCCAGCGGAGTCCGGAACAAGGCTGGAACCCTCCTCTTCCCTCTGTTTGTCCGGGGGCCACAAGGGAACCGGCCAAGGCCAGGGGGGTTCTGCAGAGTGACCGCTGCAGGGGCGAAGGGGAAAGAACTCAGGCTAAGTGGCCCCAGGGCTGAGATCTCGTCATGGCCACTGAGGCCTGAAGCCGGGACTCAGCTTTCCCATCTGTTAAAGGGGACAATGAAGACGGAAGTGTCACCGAGAGGTTCCTGGGGCCTCTTTGTATCTAGTTTTCCCTAGCAAATCCGCACTCCCTGTGTCTCAAGACAGGGAGATCATGGCCCCCATTTTCCAGATGAGCAAATCGAGGCTCAAACTTGTCTCTTGCCCCCCAGGTCACGTGGACCTCCTCTCCCCAAAGTTCTACCACTCTCTCCTTAATAATCAGCCCCGCCTTTTTCGTACCTAGCCCATCTTCAAGGTGGAGCATTTTAGTTTTTCTTTAAGACTTTATTTATTTATTTTTTAGAGAGTGAGGAAGGGAAGGAGAAAGAGGGAGAGAAATATCAATGTGTGATCGCCTCTTGCGCGCCCCTTAGTGGGGACCTGGCCTGCCACCCTGGCACGTGCCCTGACCAGGAATCGAACTGGTGACCCTTTGGTTTGCAGGCGGGCACTCAATCCACTGAGCCACACCAGCCAGGGAAGGGTGGAGCAGTTTTCAAATACCCGCCCTCTGCTCTCCTGCGGGGAAGAGGTAAAATCCTCCTCATTTAAAACTCTTGGCTCCAGCCCACGCCAGCACATCAGCCACCTGCACCGTCAGATTCTATTTGTCCCCGATGCCAGGCGGTGCCAGAGGAGTCCCATGCCCCTTCGCGCCTCACTTTCTTGACACTTAAAATATGTCCGCAGTACCAACACAACTGAGGAGAAGCCAGAAGGGAAATTTCCTTCAGCTCAAAGGGCAAGGATTCTTTTTCTCTTTTCATTAACAAAGCGAAACGTATGTTCAAAGTCAGATTTATGGAGGGAAGCACGCGGGACTTGTTCAACTATTTTTTTTTTAAAATATGTGCAGCCCTGGCCGTGTGGTTCAGTTGGTGGAAGCATCCTCCAGCACAGCAGAAGGCTGGGGTTTCTACCCCTGGCCTGGGCACCGTCTGAGGTTGCGGGTTCTATCCCCGGTGGGGGTGAGTACAGGGGGGCAATCGATTGACCTCTCCCCTCCCCCCCACCCCGCTTCTCTCTCTCTTCCTCCCTCCCTTCCTCTCTCTCTAAAATCAATAAGCATATCCCCCGGGAGGATTTTTTAAAGTATGTGTAATCTTTTTTTCCTTCCTTGTCGCAGCCCTTCGGCATCTCCCACCACTGCGTTCGAATATCCCGCCAGGTGCTTCCAACTGTGCGGAAGGAAAGCGTGCAAACCCCCATCCTGAGGACTCGCTCCACTTAATCTGTCCCTCTGTCCTGGCAGAACCCTGGAGAGAGGGGGAGCTGTGGGCCGGGCATCCTGGGACTTCCCTCGGGGCCCTAGGGGTCGCTCTAGGTTCTCCTGGCCTCGGCGAGGGGGCGCTCCCCGCGGAGGGAACGAACTCTTCCGGGGCAGCCGGGGTCTGCGGGGAGCCGCGCGCGCGTCCCTTCCCTAACTGAGTGCGGTGGGCTGTCGCCTTTCTCCTGCGGTCCCGCCCCAGGTGGGAGCGAAGCCCTCCTCCTCTCCCCCAATATCTTTTGAGCGACATGCGACAGGGCCACCGCGGGTCCCATTTTTGCAAAACGGGGAAACCAAGGTTCCAAAGCCTCTCCACTGGCAGTTCCAAATATTTACTGAAGACCAGCTGTAAGCGGAGCGCCTTGAAGGTCGAACTTGGAGGCAGCCTCGGGGAGCCCCTGGGCGCACTGCGGGAGGTGGGCGCTCGTGCGTGTATTGGACTAGCACAGAGGAAGGAGTCTTACCCTGGGTTGGGGGAGTCTCAAGGGAGGATTTCAGTTAGGAAAACTCCAGAGGGTTTTGAAGGATGAGGAGGAGCTTGTTTGCCTCAAGGGCAAAACCCAGGGGGAAGAGAGTCCCAAGTAGAAGGAATTGCACGCACAACGGGAGCAGAAATATCACACGACCCGCTGTCCCAGTGCATTTTATTTGTTGTCTCCCTCTGTAAAAGAGGCCAATGGCCAGGGAAAAGGGGGGGCGGGGGTTGTGATAAATGTCAAGGTTAGAAAGACCTTCGTTGGAGTCTCAGGCTCCATCATTCAGGCAATTTAGTCAAATCTCCCCAAGTCGCGGTGTTCTCACCGGTAACCCGGGTGTGAACCAAGCAGTACTGACTGCGTAGGGTAGTGGGTTAGCTCGGTGTCGAAAGCGCTTTGCAAAGAGTAAACCACGAGACAAATGCCCGTCCTTGCTCCTCTTTACAGGACCTAGGGTCCATGGGCGGCCAGGAAAAGACACGGAAATTCTGTGTTCTCGGAAGGCGATCACTTCCCTCGCCTATTTCTTCCCGCAGAAGTATATATATGATGAAGACGACAATTATAAATAACCTCTCGGCCGGAGGAAACCTTCTGGGGCGCTGGAAGTTGTCTGCACCTTGATCTGAGTGTTGATTACACGATGTTTCTATATCTATATAGATCACCCATCTGTACTCTTCAGATGTATGTTTTAGGTTACACCGTAAATAAAAAGAAAAACATAACAAGCCTAGCCACGACGCGGCCCCCTCCCCTAGCCGCTGGCGACAGGTGTCTCTGAGATTCCAAAAGCCACTCTCCGCGTGCGGCGCAGGCTCAGCGCCCGCCGGCAGCAGTCGTGCGCCGCGCGCCCAAGCCCGGACGAGGTTCCCAAGGCAACCGCATGCCGCTCGCCGCGTCTCCGGAGAGACG